CCCGGTTGGCCTGGATCTCTCTGATTTTTAAATAAGCTTTTAGAAAAAGCAAAAGAGTTGAACTGTCAGCTTCTTCCGCTCATGACCAATGTTCTGGAGCTCCAGTTTAAGCATCTTTGATGCTCCAGTCACATGCTTTTTCTCTTTTGTCTTTTCTTGTGTTTGGTTTTTTTTTTGAGCAATTCATCTGAATTTCTTGTTAAGCTTGTATTGATGGTAGTTTATTAAAAAGACATGATAGGAAAGTATTTGGTGCTTCACAGTATCTCTAATTCTTGCAAAAGTAGTCTACTGTGGGAATTAAGGAGAGGGAGAGTGATGGGTTAGACTGAAAGCTTTAGTTTTTATTGAATGCTAGAAATGATCAACACCTGTACTAATTTTCTAAAGAAAATATCAAGAGAAACCTAAATGTACACAGCAGTGGGTAAGTAATCTGAGATATCCTAAACTATGCCTTATATGCTGTGTCCTGCACCTTTTCGAAATAGGCCCTATTCGTATTCTTAAATAGAAGAATAATGTACGTGTTCCATGGAAGTACAGTTATTCAAACAGCTCACTTTCATAAGTGGTTTTAATCATGAGTTGTATCCAAGAGAATTTGTAGAATTACAAGCACGGATTTTTAGCTGGTGTAAATTGTCTTATCACCGCTGACTTAATGGAGTTATGACAGCTGATCTGTGGCCTAGGGAGCACAGAGTTCCTCCAAATTTAACTGATGAATTATAGACTGTATTTTGATTTACAGTTGATATTTACAGATTTACTGCAGGTGGTTGATGCACCCAGCCAAGCTCCGCTCTGCATTATGTCAAAAGATTGATTCAGTCAGGAGATCACGTCAGGTGTACATAACACCAGTACAGCTAGCAGCACCTTACCCAGCTATTTCTAAGCTCCCATTTAGTCAGGGCATATGGTGACACATTGTTGGTGATCCAGGCGTTTCGCTGATATGGTAGTTCCCTGGTTTAGTTAAGAGCAGCTGAAAACTGGATGGGTAGGTAAGAACATAAAACTGCAAGTGGTTGCTTTTGGCTTCCATTATGTTTGGCATATTGTGCCAAGCATCATAAAGATCATAAAGATGCTTGGCACATTGTAAATATTGCCCTGTAAACTTTCTCAGTGTGATCGTTTCCTATGGTTTTGTTGTTGTAAAATTGTGTGCAGGAAGCAGTAGAATATCTTCAAACACGTATTTGAGTTGTTGCTCTGTTGCTACTCTTGTAGGAGATCTAAAATTCAGCATATACAAAGTGTTAGTGCTTTCTGATAATAGGTTCCTTGCACCAGGAATGCTGGCCTGTAAGCAAGCTATCTTTATATATCTTTATACTGTCAAATTTTTTTTTAATGGAATGCAGTATGTGACTTCATCTGCACTTAAACTCCTTACGTTCCTTTTCTCCCCACAGAAAATTCTGGAAGATAGATTTGAGGCTATAATTTCTTTTGAACTTAGAATAAATGTAGGTGTCCATATTCAGGTTGACATTGTTTTTTGAAAAAATTATTGTGTCATGAATATGTGTTACTCACGAGTACCTGTGATCTGTTTTGCAAATGTTTTCGTAAATAAACTTCTGTTTGTGGAAAATTTTTCTTGTTTCCTACGCATCATTCCTTACTCTTATATGGTGAGTTATGAAGATTAGACTGTTACACTAAATTACTCATTATTATAAAGTACTGTGTTATCCAGGCTTATGACATAGCAATTTGACAATTTTTTAATGTAAACTGATATTATTAATTTAGAATAATGAGTTAAAAGTTCTGCAAATTGTTTTCCTTTTCCCTAGTTGGAGCCATCAAATGATTTCAGTTCGTGAGGCCAAAGCTATTCCAAGACCTGATGGTATTGAATGGAGAAACAAATTTATTTGTGTAGAAGGTAAAATGTAAAGCTGCATTATCATTTTTAACTGTTAAGACACTAAATACATAAATCTGTCAATTAGACTTTTCCTTAGTTGTGTTTTAATAATGCACACATATAATATATTTATGTAGAAATTGAAGTTTAACCAACGTAAATAGTTTTGGAAACAGTCCTGCCAAAAACATTTGAGAAGGAAGCTTTAAGTTCTATAGTGTTTAAAAATAGTTCTCCTGACCTTTTCTTCAAGAGCACTCATTGCCCTGTTACTTTTGGATCAGGGATTAGGACTTTGACAAGGAACGGCCTTTATGACAGTAGCGTGTGTTTTCCTGCTCTGCAAAAGTAGTTGTCAGTTTTGCCAAGATTGAGCTGCTGAAAAAACATAGTGGGCACATATTCAGATTCCTCTCTAAGAATATTCTTTGTTCTAGAAATGCTCTGATGTCCCAAGTCCTAGCAGTAACTATATTATGCGTATGTCCATACCCTTGTGGCTACTATTTTTGGCTGGCTTGTGAATGTACAGTTTCTGCAGAGTCTGTATGATGCCCTCCAGAACTGGAGGGTAAACCCAGGCTCCCTTTTGAGGTTGCAGGTCTCAGCTGCCTTAGTGCAGGCTGAACTGGGCAGTAGCACTATACAGGGAACCTGCTTCATGTGCTTTTGATGCATTTCAACTGCTGTGGGGAATCTACATGGAGAAAGTGAACAGTTAGTATGTGTAGGAGATGAAGCTTGGACCAGGGAAAGAGAAGATAGTAGACCAAGAGAAGGAGTGAGACGTTAAGAGAATGAAAAGAAAAGCAGGGAAGGGACTGAGAGGTGCTGTGTAACTGGAAACGGTTAACACAAAGAGATAAGAACGGGGAGTGAGAATCAGAATGCAGCAGGTGAAGGGGAATGGGTTGGACAAGGGACCGTGGATAAGGAACCAAGGTGGAACGGGAGCAGAATTAGAAGTAGGTGGTTTAGGACACTGGGGTGAAGAGGGAAGGTGTGAAATGGGAGAGGTGGCCTGGGCCCCGGCTGTAAATAAATGGAAGCTAATAGGATCAGGTTATCAAGGCTTGAAGTTTTAGGATAAAAGAGGAATAGAACTTGGACAGGAGCCAAATGGTATGGAAAGAGTTGTTACAGACTGGGAGAATTTTGCTGGGGGAGGAGGGGGATAAGGCAGAAGTCCTGTGGCTGGACAGACATTGCTCAGGATTGCTGGGGGTGGGAGTGCACCCATGCGTGTGTGCCCGTAGTTTACTGCATTTGTGCTGCTCTGTGCAGAGAATAATTACCTACTGGTGAAGTTAGTTATTCTCTGTCCCAGAGCTCACCAGCTTGGCTGTAATCATATGGACGGCAGTGTGAAGCCACATGATGGGATTCCTGTTCTTTATTTGACTTTTTGGGGAAAAAAATCAACTACCAGTCATAGGGAAAAAAATACACTGAAAGATGACTGCACGCTTGACTCTGCAGTCTCAGAGTTGAGAAATGTGAGAATTAAGAGTATCTGCACAGCTGAAATGATTCGGGATAGCGCAATGCAGGCATTGCCAAGGCTCTGGTCCGAATGTGGGAGGTGGGAATGCTGGGCAGCTGTGTCTGCTGCTGTCACATGATGCTGATCCGCTGTGTTGCGGGGGGGCTGTGTGTTTCAAGCTCTCAGGTTTTTTTATGACATTACAAAGTGGTTGAATAATTAGATTTTCTGTCAGATTGGAAAATAGAACATCAGCATACAAAATAGGCATTTTAGAATTTGTATTAAATGGGGTTGATTACATACGATTTTTCCTTAACAGCTGTTAAGCTGCACTAGTTTAATGAAGTATGTAGATAAACTTCTGTGTACTTTGAGAAGAAGCTTTTTAAAAGCTAGCTAAACATGTCAATGTATTCTGATTTCCAAGTCTTTGTCAGATTTTCCAGTTAGTGGACAAAAATTTCAGTAATGGTATTATTGCGTATATTTTTTATATTTTAAATATATTTGTTGATAGATTACACAAATCTGTGCCTGCAAGTTACCATAATTCTGCATGTAGCACTGTATTTAGGCTCGCTCAAAGAAAAATTGTGTTCTGTTTTAATTTTTATTGGCCTTAAGACTGATTCTCACTTGTATTTCTGCTGTTAGAGAAACAAATATAGCAGAGATGCTCATTTCAGACAGTTTAAAATCTGGCAGGCTATTACCATTATAGGGATACAGAGAACGTTGCTTTTAGCTAATGTTTGTGAACATTCCTTGTCAGAAACTCTAAATTGCTACCAGCTATTCCAGTTTCAGTTTAAATCTTGTTTATATCAAATAATATCATCACTCTCCTGTTGAAAAAGACACAGCTTGGAAAAGCTAGAAACATGGCAATTTTGTGAGACAATTAAATTGAGAGTCATTTAGGGAAACTGGATCAGAAGCTGTCTAAGCTGCACCTGATTCATGCTTGCACTTTCAAATCTTTCAGATCCACATGTTAAAAAATAATTCTAAAGATAATTCCTCAGGGCTTAGTTTGCAGCAGTTCTGAAGTTTTGTGATTTCTTGTATTTTCATTTGGAAAGATGATCCCCTTTAGCCTTTCCCTCAAGCATCAGTGTTTTTCTTTTAATATTCTCATCTCTGTGTGTGAACAAAATGACTTATGATGGACTCTCACCGTCTTGATGGTTAGAAAATGTAGTGGTGTAAATGGTAGCTGATTGCAAAATTATTCTCGCCGCACTCCAGGGAATGAGTTTGTCTTTTGACTGTCAGTAAATATGCAGGAAGAATAAAGGGAAGATGTGAGTCAGCTTTTGTGACTACCTTTTTTCGTGCTGATGGTTTCAGAAGATTGTACAGCTTTGCTCTTGTTGCTTTAAAAAATACATATCTCTTGATTCAACATAAAGTACATAAAGGTCCTGGCATTAAAGAAACGGTTAACACCATGTTTAAGACACACAAAAAAAATACTGTACTGCCTCACATGGTAAGGGATGTGGAATTCTTAGTGGCAGTAGGTCACTGTGTTAAATTATGTCACTGACTTTAGAGGACTATGTACCTTTTCTATTTGAGTGCCAGTTTTTTGTTCCAATCTAAATGTGCGATGCATTCTAAAATAAAATAAATCTGCCTGTAAACATCCACTGAAAACTTTATAGGTAGTTTGAAAAGAAACCTTTTAGAAACCTGCGAAATACAACATTTATTGCATGAAACAATTTCTTTGTGAATTTAAATAGCTTCCAGAAATAAAAACCCAATGCCATGGAGAATGTTCCAAATTTGAAGTCCCAGTCTCCATCATGGCATAAGCCCTTCTGATGTCTGTTTAATGCTTTATTTTACTATATGTCCCTATCTGAATAAAAGCAATTCATAACCAACTAAACAAAAAACCTACCTGATCTAGCAAATGCTCCTGTGGTTCTCTGGCCCTTAAAGACTTTCATACATTCTGCCAGTGTGAAATACACTGTGTTACTTAAGCAGTTCTCTAGTAAGGCAAAAAAGACTATAAAATCTGTTTAGTAGTGCATTGTAATGCATAGTCTCTGCATCATAATTTTTTAGTATCTATTGCTTTAATGTTGGCAACCCAGCAGTAGCAAGGAGTACTTTTTTTAATCCTTCAATTAAAAAAAAAAAACAACCAAACCCCCAAAAAGTTCCAAAGTATTAATTATGTTAGCAAAAAAAAAAAAAAAAGGAAAATACCACATAAATTTGTAGTCTGTTAGAAGGGGGAAGCCTCAAATTGTTAACTTATGAATAGATATTGTAGAATAGGTATGAACGGATAAAATATATTTTTACAGCAGTTGATACATCTTATATAAAAAGTTATAGTAAATATTTTACTGTACTCCTTGTATTTCACTGAGAAGCTGTTGAATGAGATGAATCTAAAGTGAACAGTTCCAAGAGGCACATGTGTATTAAGTTTCAAAACATTTTAATATGCAAAATCATATTCTGATACGTCATCACAGACTATTAAGCAGTAACAAATAATTACTGATGCATAAATTCAGGACAACTATAGTGTGCTTCAGTAGTTATAATAACCTGACTTTATTATGGATTACATACCATTAGACCATTCAGCGTTTGGGGCTTTTTTTGGATGAATGTTATGTAGAAATAAAGATTGAGGAGCAAAGTAGAATCAGCCACTCAAAACACTCTTGGGAAGCAATGATATGTTGACTCTTCTGGGTTTTGTCTGATTACTTGCTCAGTGAAGACAGCCTAGCTCTAGGGTTTTTTAACACTTCTAATGTATGTGTTTGATCTTGCAGAGCCCTTCGATGGGACAAACACTGCTAGAGCTGTACATGAAAAACAGAAGTTTGATATTATCAGAGGTGAATTTCTGAAGGTAAAAAGTACATCTCATTTAATTTTACCGGTCACTTTGGTTTTCAAGATAGTTATACAAATGCTAGTCATTGAACCTGCCCGTTCCTGATGTTTGTGTTATGAATATTTTTGTGCTTTGTACTATATAAATAATAGAAATGTATTTTTGAAAAATTCTGTGGAAAATTTATTTAACGTCTGCCATTAAGCATCAGGCTTGAGTTGAAATGGATACTTGAAATAGTAAACCCTTTGTCTTAGATTTTTCTTGTGTGTGTAAAATTCTAATGATAGTTAATAGCTTTAGAATTACAACATTATCTTCATTCATTATTTCTTCCTTCATGAATTTGACTGGTAATAAACAATGTTTTATACTTCTTACTATGCCTTTTTTAACAAGTATCGCCACCAATGGTTTTCTGCTGGTTTTTGACAAGTGAATTAAATTGCTACTTTTCTTTAGGGAGACCACACTCATAATTTTAGAACATGAGTAGTTCAAACTGGAGCTTTCACTGTTCCAGTCAGCGGAGGAGGCAAGGACACTTTGAAGCAAGCAAAGATTTAGGCCTTGGTTAAACATCCTTTTTCTAAAAATCCTTGCTACCAACTCTTTTATGCTTGTCTCCTATCATAGGCATTGCATTTGGAATTGCAGCTCAAATTCTAGTTTTCTGAGATCTCTGACTATTCATAATGTAGTTATGACTAGGGATTAGTGCACAGAACTGGCTTCCACCTTTAACCAGTTAGACTCCCCTATTACGCTGTCATTGGAGGCTCCTGTTTAGTCCAGTTAATCAAGTCCTTAAATATCTTGAGGGCTTCTCCAGTAAAAAGGAAATCAATGCCAGATACTTGTAATAAAACAAATGCTGTAAGGTGTTGCCTTAGTCAGAAAAGGATAACTTTTTTGCTTTGTAATTCTGTTCAGAAATGTCAGTTTCCTTCTATTTAACCATGCTAGCATACAAAGTACTGAACTGTTCACGTACTTTTACATAAAATATTTGATTTTGTGAATCTGCTAAAGCAATGGTTTACAAAGTACTTTGGGCTTTCTCACTGTTCTGTGAAATCAGTGAGAACTTCTCTTTTCAGAGTTTTCAATTAAAAAGTATGTTTCAAACCTGTGTGGTTTTCTGAAAAATGTAAAAGCAGTTGTTTGATGCTAGCTGTCTGGAAGCCTTATATACTAGAGTGTTACGGCCCTGAAAAAATTTCCTTTTTACTAGGAACCATAAGGAATGACAGTTGCTTAAAACTGCAAGTATTTATTAATATCTTGCACTTTTTTAAAGAAGCCTGAGGAATCTGTTTGTCTCATTGCCCTCGAGAGATTATTCTTCCTGTGGTTTTTGTTACACATTGTGGTTTAAATGAATTATGCGTAAAGACAGGAGGGTCACTGCAGTTATTTGCAGGTTCATGGCCTAACAGATGTGACAGATGTGTCCTGGATTTCACACTAGAATACAGAAAAAAATTGAAATAACCTATTTTAAAGACACAATTAAGTTCTGGAAATGTCAGAGTATAACATCTTGTATCAGGAACTTTGACATGTGTGAATTTGAGACAATTATTTTGCAGTCAGAATATCAATGTAATGCTTAAATAACGTTAACATCTTGGTCTCCACAAATCCAGTCTCTTCTTGAAAGGCTGTACGTTCCTCAATAGTTCATTGCATTTTGTGTACCTTTTGGATTTTTTCTTCCCTTAAAACAAAAAAAAAACCCCTCTCTTTTTCAAGAAGGGGAAAAATGTCAACCTTATTGTTGTGGATCTGTGAGGCTTACTGCTTACAATGGTATTTAAGTATGAATGGCAAAGATATTTAGCCTTTTAAAACCTTGTACTTTTTCCCCCAGTCTTGGCAGGTATTACGAGACAAGAAAGACCTGAACTGTATATTACCTTTAAGAACAACCATGCAGAAAAGATAACCAACTTCTTTCACTTCCTTCTTATTGGATCCTGCTGAAATAAAGAACAGTATCAAAATCAAGAGGCAGTTACCCCCTGGTTTTTTATGACATGTTTTTCTCTGTAAACTTTTGTTAAGGAAATGTTTATAAGAAAGATTGCATATTTTATTATCGACATTTGTTAATACAGCTGTTCATTCAAAGATACGTTTTCTGAAAATGCTTGCGTTGTTGACTTCTAGAAGAAAATCAAACAGCAAACCACAAGAATAAATCCATTTTAAGGAAAGTATGGGCATATACTGACTTGTTGTTTCCATAATCTGTGTAATCATTAATTTGGACACATTTAACCATGAAATAAAGACATTCAGAGCTAAACAATGTGCAAGTCTGACTATGTCCTTAAGGCATTGCATACAGTACCCACTTCTTGATGAACAGGCAGCCCGTGCTTTACATCTGCTTAATTGCAGTAAGCACTTTTGCTCAACTTGGCACTTTCCAGTTTTATTTCCCTTTTACATGGAACAACAAGCAACAATTTATGAAAATTAAGCTAGATTATGGTTGGTAGTGTTCTGGATATCAAGAACTGTAAACTGGAATTTTCAAGCAACAGTTCTACTACAAAGAAGTTGAAATAGAAAAGGACAAATCAATATACATAAATGCTTCATATTCATACAGAGTAGGTAAGGTACTTTTTAGTGCTTCCTTTTATGTATTTGAAGTAGTAGTGATGTCTGCTTTGGGAAGAAAAAACCAACAAAAACCAACAAACAAAAAACCCCAAACCACACCAAAACACCCCACAACACTACCACTGCTACAATAAGCTGGGCTTCTGTTTTGATTTTGTGTAAATATTTGTAAATTGGTCAGCTACTGTAAATTGAATTTAAATAAGTAATCTTGAAAATTTTAGCTTTTCCAAAATGAAATTGTGAAGCCTCTTTTAGACCTGCTGTAGCACAATTTATGCCTCTCATATATTTGTTATTGAAGACCAATTCATTGTTAAAACTGTACTTACCATTGATGTCAAATTCATATTTTCATTTTTTTAAGTTTAATATTTTGTATGGTGTCCAGTGGAATAAAATTTATATATGGAAGATACAGCTTATTTTTCCAGTTTATGTTATTTTGTACTGCATATTTAAAATATTTCCTATAATTAAGTAGAAAAGGAAATGCCCTGTAAAGGTGAGGCCCCTGTTGCAAATCATAAACTTCTATATGGCTATTCTGCACTGCGTTTGTTGAGTAAAAGTTTCATCTATTGCCATCTCTAACAAGATTGTGAAAACCCTTATAACTGTGTAAAATAACAAGCATTATCTCTTCTTGTGCAAACTTTTTAAAGTTCTAATTTATTTCAAGTTCTACAATTTAGAAGTTGTAGAAACTGTAAACTATTTGCCTGCTGAAAGGTTACTTACTACATACTTCATCATGATCTAGTCTATGTAAGATTTTGGCTTCTTAAAACAGCTTCCTTCTGCAATTTAAACAGTCTTTCAGTTTTAATCCGACTCTAGCAATCCACTAAAATGTTCTCTCTCCGTGTGTATGTTCCCCCTCACTGCCCTTCCTCTTTATAAGATGGTAGACTTGGTCTCAGTGAAAAATTCACTTTGACCTGCTTTATGTAAAATGGAAGCACAAGTTTTTAGTACAGGATGATGTCTGGATTCAAACATGCTCTACCAGCCCTAGATGGGTTTTGGCGAGAGGGGAGGGCTGCTCTTTTTTAAAAAAGGTGCTGTCTATCTCTTTGTGTAGAAAATGTAAAACTTTCCCAACGTTGGGTAACTGAGAAGGGACATACATGTTTAAACTTGGCAAAAATGTATTTCAAGTGAGCTGGATATAAGGCACAAAACTTCATTCACGTCTCTCTCTTAAAAGTTTGCATTGCATCACCTAAGGTGTCAACATATCTCACACCTTAAATTACTGCTTTATGTTTGAAACCACTTCTTCCTAACTGTTGTAAAATAGTTAAAAAAATTGTGGTACCTCCGTGCAACTCTGTAAAAATTGACCCACCAACTCAGTGATCTTTTTAATACAAGCCAAGATCTGTAACCACAATGGCCTGTGTCTTTTAAAAGAATCCTTTTGCAGTTTTTTTCTCACGTTTATGTACTTCTGATAAGCTACGTTTATAGTCAGAAATATTTTAAGTCTAGATGGTAGTTTTCGCCAACTGTTTGGGGAAAAGCCTGTTTGTTGCATCCTCTCTAACAATGGAAAACTCCCCATTTATTTATTGTGTTAGCTAAGCAAGGTGCAAGGTGGTGTAACTTGGTTTAGCTTATAGTGAAAGAAGCTAGTGGGTAGTCTGGCAAATGCACGGAAAGTGGCAGTGCTCTCACGTATTAAAAAATATTAATCTGAGAGGTTTGGAAAACAGATTTCACCAGGTGTATATAATATAATACCCCAGGTGTATTATATTATTCTCCTGTCAAGGCAAACAAGAGCAGCATCACTTTCCATGGAAGTGCCAGACAACTGGAACAACGGTGAGTGAACATGATATTTGTTAAATGGTGGGCTGCAACTTTCATCAGAAAACTTCAGATAAAATACCACAAAATAAGTAGTTTGGGGAGAGTGAGTAGGAGCTGAACTTTAACTAACTTTGGATTCAGTTCTGCATAGTCTGAAGTTCTTCAGAGATTTAATGACCTGGATTTTCATCTACTCTGGGCAGATATCCAGAGCGAGAAATCCACTAAAGGCTATGATAAATCTTAGTGTTAGCATGAAGTTCTCCTTTCTCCTCAGCTTCAAAACAAAAACCTTCACACACCTATTCCTTGGCGTACACCCTAGCAGGAAATTTTCCTGAGAGACCTTAGGTAAAAGGTGTTTTTCATGGTTGACCAAGGTTTTCAGCATGCGTGCAAGATGTTAGTTTCTCTGAGGCTTCTTACTGCCTTGACATAAAAATGCCTTAGTTCAGCTCTGTTTGTTATTTTAGGACTAGTTTTGACTACTCATTTTGGCATTGGGTTTGCCTGTCATTTCTCACCTGTCAGAAGTGACATATATAACGTCAGAAACTACTAGTATCTTGTCTAGGATTTTAGGAACTCTCTTTAGTCTTCTACAGTGCTTTTAATTAACAGGCTCAGAGGTGTATAGGACCACCAAACGTTAGCAAGAGCTTCCGATTCAGTAACAGCAGTGCCAGAATTGGCATAGGCTGTATACTGTGAAACTTGAAGTTTCTCTTCTAGCTCTCTTGCTCTCACTTCTCCTAAAATGTGATTGTGTAAGTGTACTCTCTGTACCTTAGGGTGTTCTGACAGTATGAGAGGTTATTTTTAAGAAATCCCTTACAAAAAATTCAATATAAACCAATTTTAAGACTCGAATTGAAGGGTGACATGCTTATTTGGGAGAAATGGGCAGCCATGATAAAAGGATGTAAGACAATTTGTAGATAACCTGAAGTTAGTGTTTGTCAATACTGTCGCAAATGCTTATTTGAAACCAATGCTTTACTTGATCTTGGGTCAGTGGACACAATTCACAGTATATTTGGTGTTAAATTTAAGTCCATCAGAGAATGTCAGTCTTGATTTAATGGACTCTGCTTGCTCTGGGTTATCTCACGTGTATTTTGTAGTGTTTGTTTTTGTTATGTTTGTCTTGTTTTCTCTAATCCTTGTGTGTTTTGATATAAATCTTTCCCTCGTTGATTTTACACAGTATGATGCTTGTAGGAAGAGCATGAAAGAATATGCTATTTTGGTCAACTTATAGGTCAAATTAAGTTGTGGGAAGTACAGAAGGGAGAGCACTAGGTCTGGAAGTAATTTGAAGAGGTTCTGCTAAAAGGGTACTCACCTTCCTCTTGCTGTGCTGAAGACCGAATCAAAACTTGTGCAATATATGTATGCTTTGTATATAAGCTTTTCTACAAGATTGTAATGCTCTTGTCTTCCGTGTGTAAAGAATGTGAAGTCCTCTACCTTAAATTTCATTGTGCTGTGTACACTGTCTCTGTGCTCATGATAAAATCTGGAGTTTAAGTTAGTATCTGTTTCAAGTACACTTCTTTGAGAAATTATGTTCTGACCTTGTAAATTGTGTACCTCAGTGAGTAGGTCAAGAAAGCAGACAAGTTTTATCTATACGTACTCTTTAGGAAATATTTTACTTCAAGTGAATCTGTCAGTAGAATTTTAATTTAGCATTGCAGAGAAAGCTTGTACTCAGAAATACCTGCTTGAGTGTTTCTGTACTTATAACACAAGGAGGAGTTCACTGATTCATTTATAACCAGCTATTTATTTGAAGAACAAAAAAAAAAAAAAAGAAAAAATGGGATTAGAGTTATACAGTGTATACAATGTTTTATACCTGAAATAACTTGGAAGTTCTTTATTTAGAGTCAGTTTTGGTGCTTCTCTCCCTCTTCTAAAAAATAATTTTAAAAAAAGTCATTACTTTGGCTAGTACAGGTTGGAAATACTTCCATTTTGTCTGTGAAAAGCACTGCATTTTATGTGAAATGCAGAATAACAAAGGGTAAACATGGCTTAACCTAAACCCTACATGGTAATGTAGTTTGCTTTAAATTAAAATTGGTTCAAGTCAACAATTCCTCAAAGAGGAAATTTGAAATGTCCTGTGGTTCAACACATCGACAAATTTGGGTGGTCAAATATATTCCCTCTGTGTTGCTAAAAACTACAGTGCTTCCAATACCTCTTACGGTACAGTATTAATTACTACAGGCGTGTCCCCTAGGCTCATCCACTTGTAATTGTATTTGACTTCTCTAGCTCAAATTTGAGGCACTCTGGGTCCCCTGGTGTGCTCAGGGCTGAAACTTGCTTTTGAACATGCTAAATGCACCTTTTTTTGGGGCCACAAGAAAACTCTCCTTCCGCTTCATCTCTGCCGTCCACCCCAAATTGGCTAGAAGTGGCTTGGGAAGGTCTGCTGGGGCCCCAGCCCCTTCCTCACTGCTGCTGCCTGGCTGCACCATCTCTGTTGTAAAA